CCTTCGTGTTTCTAAGGCATCCGTCTGCCTGCAAGGGCAGCTGCCATTGGTGTTCAGTTCAGAAGATACCGAATTGTTAATCACTCACTTTCTTCTTTGGAGACTTCATATTTGTTCTTTTTGGTTGCTGTTTCTTTAATCTGAAAATATGGGCCAGATTGTCAATCATTATTAGTTTGCATAGCTCCCTGGACACCAAGGATTGAAACTAGCTAAGGAGCTGGCCTCTTGTCTTTTGCTCTTTGTGTTCAGGAAAAATAACAATCCAAGCTAATTTTTGTAACTGGCAAAGCTGCAAATTTTAATCTAGCTGGGATCTTTCTATCTATTACAGACTGAATGAAATAGAGATTCTGCTCTTGGAATTGAGCTGACAATATTGTTGCACAAGCCTGAAGAGACTCCAGTTTTGTGTGTGTGTGTGAACGTGAACTATGCCAGCTGTGTGGAGCCACAAGGAATTTAAAACATATTGAGTCATTATGAAACTTATCTTATGTCACTGAGCTGTTGTGATTCCAAGACTCACAATTAACAGAAATGCCAAATAAGGAAGGGCCATTATTTTGCAAAGTCACTTTGCTGGCTGTAACCACACTTGAATCTGGGAACACTTTAGGGATTTGAGTATGTGAGAGATGATCATTTTTTAAGAAGTAAGAACTGTTAAAAATAAACAAAACAGCCTAAGGTGCTTTTTGTGTGTGGCATTTGTCTAAGATTTTAGATTTAAAAACTATAATATAGTAAGTGATTAGTCCATAATTTGACAAATTGCTTAGATATGTTGAAAAATATAGATTAAAAATGGTTGTAACCTCCCATTGTCCAGTGCTTCCTTCCTCTTTGTTCCCAAAATGTATCATGCACAGTGACTGTGTGTGAGCAGAAAGTGGGTTGATAGTGCAATTAATCCAAGTAGAAACCCATGAATGGAGGTATATTTCTATCACACTTCAGCATTTACAGATTTGATAAGCAACCCCACTTTTTGACAAATGCCTAAGTCAACTTTCTCAGCTGACCTCTTTGGAGCACATAGCATGTTATCTGAAGAAGAGGGTGCAATCTAGAAAACAGCAGCAAGCTGTCTGCTGGGCAAATAACACAACCTTCTCAATACTAGTTGGCTACTGCAGGTATATAGTAGTGGTGAAAGAGGGGTTGAAGATTTAGTTCCCACAAGTTTGCTGATTAGTCGATAGTTTCTTCAGCTGCATGCAGGGCCGTGGATGACTATCCGAAGTTAACAAAATTAAGGTCCCCCTGGCTCACAATGTGAGGATTTCTTCCTCCTTTAGGTTCTAGGCCTCAGAGTTCACCTGGATCCATAATCTGAACATGAAGCAGTGATGGGTGAAACTCAAAATATTTGAAGTGTCAGTTCAAATAAATAAACTTAACTTTTGGGGTATCTGAATCTGCTGCGTATGCAAAACTGGACTAGAAATGGCAAGTGAACAACCTGTTTCATGGTATCCTACTACTTTCTCTGTTGGTCCTGGCTAGACCCCAGCAATGCTAAATCAAGTATAATATTGTCAAGCCTCTGAAAAAAGGTCAGATTGGGCTTGGTTTAAGTTTGGGGGAAGATAAAAAGGAGAGAATTTGGAAGACGGATTATTTTATCCACATCAAGTTCCCCATTTGTTATAAAGTATTTGATAACTTTAAATCCAAATTCTACTTAACTTTTGAGCTGAAGTGGCTCCACTGAATCAGAGAGGACATAACCTTTACAGATGTTTTTTGTGCGTGTTTGACACCAGAGCAGGAGGAAGGGCAAACTGATGTCTATTTAACCTGGCTCAGAGTTACTGGATACACTCCTGTGCTTCCAATCTTTGTCACGTCAGGCTTCCTTTTTGGAGATGCAGAAGGCAGCTGCCTGGATTTCAGCTCTTTTGGATTTTTGATTTGCTGAGGTCATTTAGACAGCAGCATTGTGAGCAGGACTGTCAAGCAATTACAAAATTTAATCCCACTGTTAAACAATAATAGAATACCGTTTATATAAATATTTTTGGATGTTTTCTACATTTTCAAATATATTGATTTCAATTACAACTCAGAGTAAAAAGTGTACAGTGCTCACTTTCTATTTATTTTTAATACAAATATTTGCACTGTAAAAAACAAAAGAAATAGTATTTTTCAATTCACCTAATACAAGTACTGTAGTGCAATCTTTTTATCATGAAAGTTGAACTTACAAATGTTGAATTATACACAAAAAATAACTGCATTCAAAAATAAAACAATATAAAACTTTAGATCCTACAAGTCCACTCAGTCCTACTTCAGCCAATCGCTCAGACAAACAAATTCGATTACATTTGCAGGAGATAATGGTGCCCACTTCTCGTTTACAATGGAAGTAAGAACAGGCATTCACATGGTACTCTTGTAACCAGCATTGCAAGATATGTACATGCTAGATGCGCTAAAGATTCCTATGTCCCTTCATGCTTAAACCACCATTCCAGAGGACATGCGTCCATTCTGATGATGGGTTCTGCTCGATAACCATCCAAAGTAGAGCGGACTGATGCATGTTCATTTTCATCATCTGAGTCAGATGCCACCAGCAGAAGGTTGATTTTTTTTTTTTGGTGGTTCGGGTTCTCTAGTTTCTGCATCAGAGTGTTACTCTTTTAAGTCTTCTGAAAGCGTGCTCCACACCTCATCCCTTTCAGATTTTGGAAGGCACTTCAGATTCTTAAATGTTGGGTCGAGTGCTGGAGCTACTTTTAGAAATCTCACATTGGTACCTTCTTTATGTTTTGTCAAATCTGCAGTGACAGTGTTCGTAAGTCAAACAATATGGGCTGGGTCATCACCCGAGACTGCTATAACATGAAATCTATGGCAGAATGTGGGTAAAACGGAGAAGGAGACGTACAATTCTCCCACAAGGGGTACAGTCACAAATGTAATTAGCACACTATATTTTTAACGAACATCATCAGCATGGAAGCATGTCCTCCGGAACGGTGGCTGAAGCATGAACGTTTAGCATATCTGACATGTAAATACCAATGCCGGCTACAAAAGTGCCATGTGAACGCCTGTTCTCACTTTCAGGTGATATTGTAAATAAGAAGCAGGCAGTGAGTTTTTCTTTGCTGTGGAGACATACCCTAAAACAGTTGTTCTCAACCAGGGGTACGTGTACCCCTCAGGGTACGTAGGGGTCTTCGAGGGGGTACATCAACTCATCTAGATATTTGCCTAGTTTTACAACAAGCTACATAAAAAGTACTAGTGAAGTCAGTACAAACTAAAATTTCATATAAATAATGACTTGTTTATTCTACTCTATATACGATACACTGAAATGTAAGTACAATATTTGTTTCAATTGATTTATTTTATAACTGTGGTAAAAATGAGAAAGTGAGCAATTTTTCAGTAATAGTTGCTGTGACACTTGTATTTTTAGGGCTGATTTTGTAAGCAAATAGTTTAAGTGAGGTGAAACTTGGGGATACACAAGACAAATCAAACTCCTGAAAGGGGTACAGTAGTCTGGAAAGGTTGAGAACCATTGCCCTAAGAGGCCCAACCGAGGATGGGGTCCCATTGTGCTAGGCCCTGTACATACACATGGAGACAGTCCCTGCCTTGAAGAGCTTACTATCTAAGTCAGTGATACTCAGACTGAGGCTCAGGAGCTGCAAGTGGCTCTTTAATATGTCTCCTGCGGCTCTTTGCAGGACATAATATTAAAACACTGTGTGGTTTAATTATTAACCAATCAGGATGCTTTTACTATGTTATTAATCAATTGTAGAATACTTGGTCAGTCATTCTGCTGTGAGAATTATATATAAATACAAAAATAGTAAATGAAACAAGGAATTCACACTATTGTGGCTCTTTGGGGTAATGCTGATCACCAGTTTGGCTCCTGAACCACTGAGGTCTGAGTATCACTGTTGTAAATTGGCAAGGCAGACGAGGAGAAAGGAAGGCGTGTCATCTCCATTTATGGGGAACTGAGGTGCAGAGAGATTAAGTGTTTTGGGAAAGGTCACACAGGAAAGGGTCAGGAAATGAACTCGGTCACCTGAGTCTCAGCCCAGTGACTTAACCAGTCCTTCCTGTCCTGCTACAGTGCAGCGGTGGTGGAAAAAACCCAACACACACAGAAAACGGCATTTTAATTTGTTACTAAATAAAACCTGTCTCTACGTTCTCTGCAGTAGTAGGGCAACTGGCCCCTTGGTGGGCTACATATCAATTTACTAGTGTGGCTTCTCCTTAGTAATTCATCACTCAGGCAGAAACACAAAGAAACAAATGAAGGGGGGAAAAACCAAGAGTTCAATATTTCATAATAAGCTCTCTCTGTTGTAGCAGCAGCTGCAGTTTCTCCTCTGAGTTCTCTTCTGTTTTTTTGTCTGAAAGAATCAGCAGCTGCTTAGGAAATATTCCAGAAAGATTCACTGAGAAGTTCCTAGTTGCTCTTCAAATGTGACTTGACAGAATCAAGCTCTTTGGAGGCAGGGACTACCTTCTTTCTTCTACATTATATTCGGACAATATGCTCATCTAAAAGTATGTAATAGGGAGAAGAATAAACCCAGAAGGTTATAGAAGACTCAGAAACCAGTTTTTCATGTTATAAGGGGGGAAATAATTTGTTACTTTAAGGGGCCTATTTAATTTATTGAAAATTCCCTGCTAAACCATGCTGCTTTCCACCTTGGAGTATGCGGGAATGGTGGTACAGGTGACACCAATGGAAGGGTCAGTTTGGAGAGTCAGAATTCAGAATAGTCTAAAAGTCTTACCTTTAGGATGGATTAGCCAATGACATTCAGTTCTGATGAAGGAATACTTCTACTTGGTATTTTATTAGTTGTGTGGTGTCAGCTGATATCCCGTTGGAAAGTTGGAGGGGGAGACTTCTTTGGAAAAGCACAGAATCGTCTCTCGCATGCTATTCTATTATTCTCATTCACCTTTGACCCTTCATTATGATTACTACCAAACAGGAATGTCTCTACCGCTACTCAGGGCCCCGGCTGAGAGAGATGCCAGGCCTGACTGCAATGAGAGCGCTTATGAAGAATCTTCCTGTTGTACAGGCCAGAGGAGGAGAAGTTGGCAGTATTTTCAGAGAGCATGATGTCCCCATGGCAGCTCGGAACTGTCAACCTCAAGAGTGAGTTTTACATGGATGGGAGACAGAACTTCTCCGCAACTGGCTGTGGACCTAACTTCCAGAAGCAGAATTCATTTTCCCACTTCTTAGGATCCAATTTATTATAACCATTCATATGCAAACTTAAACCAAAACAAGTCTTCCCCTGCTCCACAATATCTTCAGCCCTTTGCTGGGCTGAACAGTTCTTTCCAAACGCTCAGGTTCTGCTACATGGGATTTCCTAAAGACTCTCTGCTTCAGGTTTCTGCTCCAGTCCATCACTTCAGGTAGCTTTAGCTGGGTTTTTTCACCTTGCTGGTATGGTGAGTCCCTTCTCCAGCTCTCTTTGACCTTGGGCCCCTTCTGGAACCTCTGCGCTAGTGTTCCATAAGTCTCTCTCCTCGGTTACCCTTGTATTAGGGCTTCACCCCCAGCTTGCTTGCTGTTTGCATCCCAGATTCTTCTGAACAGGGGAACTCAGGCCCACTTGACAGTTTTCTGAAAAGCCCTCCCGCAAACTCTTCCTAATCTTTGATCTCTCTCGCTCTCCTATGGAGTAGGCTCCCCCTTCTAGGAAGCCCTGCCCTGGGTTACCATCATGTGATTATTGAGTCCATGACCAGGTCCAGCTGCATCACCTATGACTGGATGACAAGGCATGGGTAAAGCTGAGCCCAATCTCTTAAAGGATCATCACCCTGTGACAACCGCTGTGATGCTGGCAGACCACGTGCCAGCTAATGTCAAGGCTCTGAAGCCTCACTGAACAATGATAAATGCATAGCTGGGAATGAGTTTGACTCATCTGTGTTAGCATTGTTAAAATAGATGTTAAGTGAAAAGAATGTGTTGCGTGTTTAGACTTTATGAAATGCTTGTATATTGCTGCATGCATTAATCTCACTTATAATATCTGTATTGTATGTTATAAGATAATAGTTAAGTTTTTGTAACTATAAAAGTGTTTGCTCTAAAACTGTAGATCTCCACTGTCAGGAGAGAAGCATTACCAAGTATGGAGGTAGAAGTTTGCCACACGAGGTATCCCCTCCTGCTCAACAGAAGAAGACCTACAGACACCAGACAAACTATTGTGCGACATCAGTGCATAAAAGGCTTTCATGATTTCTCCCACCACCACCACACATGAAGAGGAGAAATCCTTGTTACATCAGACTGAGCTCTGGGGGAAAGGGATAAAAATCCCTGTAAAGAAAATGTATCGCTATGCTGCTTGGAATTTGGAGAGGGCAATATTTCTGAGCATAAGCCAGGGATCCCCAAGCTGTTTAGGTTGGGTTAGCCCCAAAGGACATATAGAGCTTGCGCATGAAAGCAACTTCTGTTACTTTTTGAAACCTCGGACAGTCCTAGGTTTACCTGCTATATCCTTGTAAACCACTCTCATTTCTTTTTCCTAGTTAATATATCTTTAGTATGTTTCTTACAGGACTGGCTACAAGCGTTGTCTTTGGTGAGAGATCTAAGGTACAATTGACCTGGGGTAACTGACTGGTCCTTTGGGACTGGGAGTAACGTGAATATTATTGTGGATTTTTGGTGTAAAGGACCACCTATCACAAAGGCAGGCTCACCTAGGGGGCATGATAGATGTCTGGAGTGCCAAAGGGGATGGTCTGTGACTCCATGTTAAAGCTGTTAATGTGCTTTAGGAGTTCACACTTGTTACTTGGTTGGTGAAATCCATTAGAGAACATACCACTAGTCTGTGGTTTGTGCCCTGTTCCTTTGACAGTGTGCCCTGAGGTTGGCACTCATGGTCATGAGCTACTCTACACAGCTTGACATCCACAAACCTCAGTGTGTTCAGAACTAAATGCATTTCTTCAATATAACTTTCCCTTGGTAACCTTGCCAAAATAATACTTTTCTTTAGATAACAAAAAAGACCCCCCCCCTCCCATTATCCTGTCAAGCCAGAGATGTAGGATGCCAGAGCGCTTTTCATACACCTTTGCTCTGTTTCAGCCAGATATAAGTGAAAATGGACAAGTTGGCAAGTCTCTGACAGATGCTGTAGGCACTGCATTCAACAGGAACCCCTGCTTCACGTTCTCTGGTCCTGTCCAAAATTACCTCCAGATGGGTCGCTTGGTTTGTGTTACACGGAAAGAAATCACTGGCTTTTTGGTGCCCACCACTCCGGAATCTTGTATATTAGGGTATTTAAACTCTAAGGAATGTGACGGCGAGAACTTGGGGATAACAGCTTCTGCTACTGGTGCTCATTTGTAAGCAATGGAAAAATTCTGACTCTTCCTCCGTATTGGAATGTGTCCAACAGGCCTGGAACCTTGTGATTCTGTGCAGATCAGCACAGTTATAATCTGAGAAGGCGTACATATTTGTGCACATGTGGCATGCTTGTGCCAAATTATTTTAACAAAAACAAAATAAGACTGTAAACTAGAATGTTCCCTCAAGAGAAAAGTTGATGAACTTATTCCTTTCCTTTATTTTCTCTTTCTTTTGTTTCATTTTTTTCTGGTTTCATTCATTATCTGCTTAAGTGTTATGTTGCCATTTATATTACTGTACGGAAAATAACACTCTTACTGTATTTTGTCAGCTTTCATTCATGAAGCTTTCTATTATTTTACAGCAATAAAAATAAAATCAACAATAGAATCTCCATCCCCAAATAACACAGTGAGATTCAAAGATTTGCTTGTGTTGGCTTTAATAAGTATGATGGGTGTAATCTAAAAAGATTAGATACATTAACTAATTAAACAGGAGCTCCCTGATATCTAAGATGTTTGTGAGACCTTGTTTTGCCCAGCCTGCGCCTTTCTTTTCTGCCATTTTTTCTTTGAGACCTTTCATTTCTGAGACCCCAGTGACAAATTGTTCTGAGGATCCATGGATGTAACTTGATAACCTGCTTCTGGATTTATGATGGGTAGAATGTCTGTAGAACCAAATAAATGACACTAGAATTCTTCCTCTCCTGTGCCCTCTTAGCTCACCTGAGCTATAGTTATTCAAAGGGGATGTAGTGGTTTACAGAAAATATAAATGGGAGAGTCACTGCCCCAAATGACAGTCTAGCTCAGACCAGTCGTAGCCAGGGAACAGCTGTTCAGGTCTGAAAAGGTGCAGACATGTAATCACAGAGGAGATGAACGTAGGAAAGCCTTTCAAAATAAGCTGGTTTTGAGGAAGGATTTGTAAGAAGACAGGGTGCTGGGAAGTGGGAGGCTGTTCCAACTGAAGCGGGGCGGGGCAGCGGGGGTGTGAAAAGAGGTCTGTAGCCAAAAGTGGAGGAAGGAGTTTTAACCTTTGGAACTAGACTCCTCCATTCAGTGAGCTCATTTGTGAAATGCCAACATTTCCAGACCTTTATTCTAGGCATTAGGAGCAACTCTTCCAATGGCCAAGCGTCTATTTTAGTTGTGAGAATTATTATTATGGCTAGGGAAACAGTCATCACCTCTATGTTCGCACTTCCAGATCCAAACATGTCCTTGCAGCAACTCCCTGCTCGTTCTGTGCAGGTTTACAGCCTGGGATGGTCACCATCTGAGCATGCCCTAAAGCAAACCTTCCCAGGCAGAGCCTCCTCTTGACTTATTTCACCCCAGCAAGCACAGCACCTGCTTACTGGCTGTTAAGAGAGAGCTAGAAGCCCCTACAATTGCTGTCTGGGAAATCACGGCTGAAAGAAAAGGCCTGCACCTTCCTCTCTACAGTGACTATTTCTCATCAAACTTTATTCCAAGAATGGAGAGACTTTCTGTTGCTGATCATCTGGACTTGTCACATGACTCTGTGTAGAGTCTAACTAGGAAGAGCCAGTTTCCTGAAGGCTTTCACACATGCCAGTAATGATCTCAGACTCACATAACTCCTCCAAAAATAGGGCCTGATGCTCTCTCATAGTAACCAAACCCACATAACAAACCTACATCCCTTGTCTCAGTGGCTGCTCAGCTGGCCTGATCCCCCATGACAAGCTCTGGATGATCTAAAGTGTCAATCCCTTCCATCTCATGATTTGACAAGTTTCCAGCCCCCTTCCAAGGGGTCAACCCTTCTACTCCCCACCCCATCCCTGTGGCAAACACACTGTTCCCCCTTCCCCTTCTCAGCTAGAGTCAGTATTTCAGAACCTCACTTTTGTACAGGATAGAGGAACAACAGCCAATCTAAAGATCCCATGGCCTGAGAGCCTTCCTGGAGGTATGAATTGCAAGAGAATATGGGATAGCAAAAGGTTCCTATATGTTCCAATGATTGAGAGAAAGCTTGGGCCTGATTCTTCTGTCCATTTGTACATTGTAACTTCATTTAACTTGAATGGAGCTCCAAAAACAATGTAAAGGAATAATGATTCCTTGCCTGTAGCTTCTGTGTGCAGACCTGAACTTTACAGCTTTTGTGATACACTCCAAACTGTTCAAAGGGGATTGTTTAAAACAATGTTAACATTATTTATTTATTTGGATTCTACAGACCAATCACCTTCTCTCCTAAAACAAGTAACCCACATCTTGGGTTGGTGTGTGCTAACCATTCCACAATGATATTAATTTTGATGCCTGTGATACGTGCATCCCTTTGAGGCTTTTCCTATCGCAGTACAGTCTCTCTTAGAGCTAAATTCTGCCCTGGTGTAAGAAGACCACAGGCAGAGTTGGTTGCTCAACTAACTTGGGCATACAGTATTAAGGCCTTTATGTGCCAAGAGCAAGACCTTGAAATGAATCTCTTTTCTTACTGGCAACTGGTGCAGCTCATAGCGTGGGCACTTACTCCTCTGCCAAGCTCACTCACAGTATATTTTATCTTATGATAATGCACCGTCCTTTTTATACCTAATAATTTGGCCTTTTGGACTCTCTCAGTCACCAGACATGCTTAATGTTCTGCCAAATGGCCACATTCGAAACCAGTTGTTGAAGTGGAATACAAGATTTACAAAGGCACAGCTGCACT